TTAACGCAGTGCTCAGGTAGCATTCCCAGGGGTAAATTTGCAGTTGTCAGTGAGTACTGTGGAGTGTTACAGATCCCTGACCTAGTGTGCTATTAGTTGTCTTGGGTGCTGATTTCTGTGTAGCTGTGGCAGTGTGGGCTGGCTTGCTTTCTGGCCCCACATTATAAACAGCAGGTGAGTTACACAGCCACAGAGTGCAGCTTATCGCTTCCTTCTCGATATGGTATGAAGCTGATGAGCAGCAACCTGCAGACTTCTGTTCACTGCCTTCCTGGCCAGCTAGTTCAGCACTGTTTGATCAGATGCAATATCTTTTGCCAGGGGAGAAAAGTCAGTTTAAATGTAATCCTTCGGAACTAGTGCTGCAGTAAAGGACAAATTCTGGCTGATACCCTGGGGGAGCTTCCTAGATGCGTTTGCAGAGCAGTTGAGAACAGGGTCAGGAGAAAGATGTAAGCCAGTTCTAAACCTGGGTCAGAAATGCAAAGAAGGATATGGTGAGATAGCATGAATCAGTTGATCATGAGCCAAGGTAGGTGTGGGAAAAATTTAGCCATGTTTACCCTAGAATTTCTCCTGCGATAGCAAAGACCCTGCTAGGGCCTAAACTGGCAAGTTTGCAGAGCAGCCTCTTCTGCCCAGCCACTGATTGCTGTTTTGAATCCTACAGGTAGGCCCTCACATCCCAAGTCTTAAAAAGCAATCACAGGTCAGGAGTGTTTAACAAAGTGTGTTTTCCTTGAAAAACGTTGTCTTAGTTTGAAATAAAACTTGATGGTGTCCAAAGTGCAAATACCCTGTTCTTCCTAGAATAGCCATTTGGAGCTGGTTTCCTTTGGCAGATGGGTGAGCCAGGTTTAAGCACCTCTTTTGACAGTCTGTTTTCTTCCATGTGGCTGTGCCAACCCACCAAGGCTTCTATCTGTTTCCTGCCTGCTGGGGCTTTTCTGCTTTTTATGAGTAACTAAAAACATTTTTAGTGCTATATCTCTTGGTAGGTGTGCTCCCTGGGGATGTGGTAAAACCCAGGATCAAGTATCTTTTAATCTCAGCTATCAGTGCAGAAGTGATAAAGTTTTGTGTCTCCTTCTCTGTCCCAGCTGCTGTGGCAGAATAATCCACTTCAATTGCTGATCCTAATGAATAACAGACTTTCTGAAGTCTTGTATTTCTATGGAATAGGAAGGGTTATCTGTATTCACAGCAGAGCTAGCATAAGGCTGGATTTTCAGCTCCTTTTCATTGTATTTCTACTTTGCCTGCTTTTTGCTTCTTGCTCTTGTTAGCTTGCATTGATTGGTAAATGGTAAAGGAGAAAAACACACGCTTACAGAAAACAAAAACAAAGCAAGAAATAAGGAAAAGGCGAGACAATGTTTTTCATTTCATTACTGAGCTTCTTCACAGCCCCTCTTCTGACATTTAGAAGAATATAATATGCATGTCTCTGTTCATTAGGTTCCTCAGTACTACACAGTGACAGCTACAGAGGGCGGGGAAAAAAAGAAAAAGAAACAGCCTTAAACATGAACTAACCTTTGCAAGCTAAATAACAAAGAAATGAGAATAGCAAAGGAGAAAAAATGTTTTCTGAACAAGTAAATATATCCAGAACCATGGCCTTATGTAGGTTATTCAAGTATCATTACAAAGGGGAAAAGAGAATACTGACCTCTACGTCAGAAATAACTAATTTTCTGCCCAATGATCTGTTTGTTCTGTACATATATGTTTGAGCAGGTCTGTTACTGGTATTTGAATAACTGTAAATGACACAAGGAGACTGCTGAAACTAAGGATAATCTTTAAGACATTCGGGAGTTGATACAGATTCTCAAAAATTAGAAAGCTTCTAATAGAAAAGCTCCTAAGCATTCTCAAAATAGGGTATCTGCACCAAGTGGAGATATCTAAATGGGTGCATATGTTCACCACAGCATGGTGTCAAATATATATATTAGCTTGGAAATCTTAAATGCTAAGATTTAATCCTAAATTTACTAAGAAGTCAGGATATAGGAATATTACTTAGGATTCTTGATGTAGCTAGTCAGCAATTAAGATGCATATTTAGATGAGTCCAGGGATGCCTCTGCAGAAGGATTGTTAGAGCTATATAAAAAATAATTATGATGGAATGCAGCTGGCTTTCCCCTCCCCCCCCAACAATTCCAAGGGAGCTACAGAACTTCAAGATTGTGTGGGTTTTACTGAAATTTCTGAAGGAAGAAAAAAGAACAAAAGAGACATTTCTACTCTCTGGAAGATAAATATTTTGATTTCTCATATTGGCACTTTTAATTTTTTTGTAATTTCATATTCTTTTTGGGATGTCAGTTGCAATATTTTTTCACCCTCAAGTGACAAGATTAAAAATCTCAATGGAGTTTTCTTTCGTGGTTGTTTTAGATTTGTAAATTTTCTCAGTTGGGAAAAAGTAAAAATCTGAGTATGTTATGAAAAATAATTCTCAGTCTAGTTATCACCACTAATTACACACTGCTAATTTTAGTATTGCATAAAATAAAATTAACCTGATTCTGATTCCTGTATTTTACAGTCGGGGGAAGTGTTTCTTGATTCTTGTATGGTCTTCCCCAAGATTACATCAGCCAGTGGCAAAGAACAGGGAGAGAATCACACTGTTTTTCCTGTTTATTATTCCCAATTTCTATACCTGTTATCTTCAGGTCTGCTTCTAAAATTGCCAAATGTCAAAATATTAATTAGGGGAAACATTCGTTAGTCATTTGCATCTCTGGTACCTCTGGCAAGTGCAGCAGGAGAGGGACAAGAGAAGAAAACAAGACTTGGAAAGACATACAGGCAACTGTACAGCTGCTTTGCAGGTCCAAGGGAGGCTCAAAGCTGAGGGTATGTACAACTCCCACAGAGTGTCTGCAAGCAGGCTGGCACTACACATCATGGAGTTCACTGCTACCTTTCATTGGGCGAGTTGTTATTCAGAAAGGTTTTATGCACACAAGGAGTTTGTCTCCCCCCTTGATTTTTATTTGTTTGCCAAGTAGGGGATTTACAGACCCATTCAGAGGGTGCTGTGAGGGATGGCAGCGGCACAGTTCTGTATCTGGAGCAGACAGCTGCCCTGCTGTCATTGATAAGCATTCCTGGGAGGGTGGCGATTGAGATTTAGCACTTACAAAGCGCTAATTGGTATGAGCCTTGGTGAACCATATGTGCCCTCCGCAGCCTGGCCATCTGATGCCTCGGCAGACGGCTGGCACTTCACACCTTGGCTGCCTCTTCAAAGAGGGACCTGCCAGGCGAGGGGAAAACACCTCCTGGACAGCAGTGGGGTTTTGGGGAGCGGAGGGGACGTCCATGTCAGGGTGCCTTGGGGAGCAGAGGGGGATCGTGGCTGTTGTGTAAATTTCCCCATGAGCCTCACATGACGTGTTTGTGCAGATAGGAAGTGCTTTGGGCAGCCTTTCTTTGTGCTACGAGAGATTCAAGAATTGTGCTGTAGAAACAGATATCTGTCAGATGTGTGTCCTCTGTCCCCTATACCTTCCGCTACAGCACTGTGTGCTTGCTTATGCCCTCAGATCCCACATCAGCTTTTTCTGCCATCTCACATGCTGAGCATGTTGGAAAGAGACAATTCCCGCTGTGGCTGTTTTAGGGCTATCAGTGTGTAAGATGTAGAAGGGCTTTTGGCTTTGGAAAAGGCAGTGGTGAGGTCTGTTCCTCCCCTAGTGCAAGCAGCTATGTGGTAATTCCTCTGCCATGCTGGTGCCAGCTGATAGGCAGCAGCATTGGGCAGATAGGCACTGAATTTCCTACAGTCCTTTGTTGCTCTGACAAAAGTGTTGAAGTTGGCAATTTTACCAGGGGAGCAGGGGGATGTGTATCTGTGTGCCTCGTTTCTTAGGAACCCAGGCTGAAAATAATAAGAGATATATAGATCAGAGTTTTGTCAGATAAGTGTTGGGACTCTAATTTACTGTGGTTTTAATGGAATAGGGAGGACGATAAGATATACAGTGATCTTGCAGGGAGACATGCAAAATGAATTAGTAGCAATAGTAATGGTCTAGTAGTTTGTCCCAAATGTAGGTCTTCTTAAAGGAGCCCAACATCTTGAAAGTCAGAAATTATTTTTTGAAGATATTAACAGAAGAGCAGGCTGAAATGTTTTGCTCAAAATGCTTTTTGCTAAAATTGCATTCCTCCCCATAGTACGATAATTTTATTCTAGAAGTGTCTGTTTTGGCAGGAGGGAAAGGCTGTTTATCAAAAGAGCTGATAAAAGTTCTAAACTTGGAAACACTTCCATTTTGAATAAATCTAAAACTTTTCACTGAAGTCACAGAAACATTGGTTGTTAGAGGTATTTGGAGGCCCCCAGTTCAACCTCTTAGTCCAAGCATGGTTATCACCAGCTGCAGGTCAGGTCAGCTATGACTTTGTCTAGCCAGGTCTTAAGAAACAACAGGGATGGAGACTTTACCCATGTTCTGGGTAGTCTGTCCCAGTGTTGAACTGTTTTCCTCAGAGATTTTTCTTGATGTCCAGTCTGAGTCTCCCAAGTCAAAACTGGCGATCATTTGTTTGTGTCATGTCATCTGCTACAACGAGAGTTTGACTGGAGGTAGGTCAGTGCACCACAGCTGTGAAAAAAGTCAGCAGCTTCAATGCCTGTGAAACAGAGCAGAAAATATTCACTATTTCTACTGCATAGAAGATCTCATCTTGTATCCTAAAACTTTAGTATTTCAGCTCCTTCCCATTGCCTCCTGGGGTTGAGGGAAGAACCTGTTGGTGATAACATGCAGAGGAGCTGAATGAGAAAAGGTCCAATTGGCTAAAGGTACACCTCTGCAAATTCTTTCCATGTCAGTTTAGGCAAATGCTTTTAACAATTCATTCAATTATGTTAAGCACCCATTAAAAGAAATCTAAGCCCTCCCCGGGGTTATTTCAGTTCTGTGAGATTGTAATTGTTTGAGACTAATCATGATTTCTTCTTTTGCCTTCAGGTGATTCTAATTCTGACAAAGCTGTATGACTACAACCTGGGAAGCATCACAGAGAGCTCTCTTTGGAGGTATGGAGATAAATTGAGTTAATAATTATCACCTTACTTAAATAGGAAGAGCCTGATGCAATTCTTTTATTGAATTTAATTGGATTTCTTGAAATGTGTTGGAAGGTTTGTAGCTAAACCCTCTCTCCCATTTCTTTCATACTCAGGGACAAAGAGGCTGAAGTCTGATTGTCTTGTTTCAGGTAGATAAGGTACTCCGTGGATATACTGTCATTTGGTTTACCCTTCCCTGTCTTATTCAGATCAAAATGAGCCAATTCGTTTATTTTTTTTAACAGCCTAAAGTTCTTGTTTGGGCTGTCTGCCCAAATGATCCTTGTGAAAAGCCAGTACTGCTAAGACTGGGGGAATACCTAAGAGTGAGTATTCAATGTCTGTTGACTAGAACTGATGGTATTAGTACTAGATAATTGATTTCCACTTGACTGCTAGATTGATTCAATGTTTCAATACCTTCATGATTTCAAAGCGTATCATGCACTCTATGAACCAAAGGAAGGAGCTAGGCCGTGGACAATTTCTTAGGGCTGTTACTTGGATTCAGTGCAAGCAGATGGTGCCTCTTTTTACTTCTCTGAAGAAGGAATCTAAAAGTGTTTACTTTACCTGTCCCTCGTGTTACTTTTATGAGCAGTAATGGATGAAAGGGAGGTTTTCTTAGGGTTTCATCTGTGAAACTTTGGTGGGAAGTTCAGGGGGTTTGTATGCAGGTCACTGATGGAGGTGAATAGGCTACTGTCACAGTAGAAGAAAACTTTGGGTATTTGAAACTGAAACTTCTGGTTAGAATGACCTTGTTTTGATAAACTTGCATGGAAAAGGGGTTTTCTTCACCAAGCAAGATTTTTGGTGCAGAAATAGAACAAATAACCTTTTTGTTCAAGGAACTGAGTAGGTTTTAAGAGAATGACAGAGGAGGGATTGACATGAATTATATTCTGAACTCAGGCTATTGCTTTGCCCACTGGCCTGAAAGAATGAAACAAAACCAAAATCAAACAAACAGGAAAACCTAACCCAAGACAGAAAAACTAAACCCTAAAGAAACACAAAACTCCTAGGATTTGTTCTGAACAGCAACAAGAACACTCAAAAAACTAGTATTTTTCAGGGTTGAATAAATATGTTTTTCATCCATATACCTTGCTGCTATGACTTTCTACTCCCTTGTCTTTACTGTGGTGTGTGCACACATAAAGGGTCTCTCAGGCATGCGGCTTTGGCAATGTTTTATAAAGGGAATTTGTGCTAGATTGTTAATTTCACAGTGGTTTTAAAAAAGAATATTCATAAATATGAAAAATACTATTTCTACTTCCTTTTACTAGCGTTGGTCATTTCACCCTGAGAAATACTCATCTCTGTTTCATTAGTCTTTGAGAAAGATACAGCCTTTCAGCATGTGAAGACACCTCCTTCCCCATTGCTGACAGTGCTGAAGATCAGCTTATGTGATTGTGCAGGATTGTGTTAAGATGTGGTTTTCTGACTGAAAATAGCCACATCAGAGTGGAAAACATGCTTCTTGTTGACCCTACACTGTTGCCTGTTTCAGAATTAGTCTCTGTGGGGCATTCCATAATGGCATAAAATTTTGCCCTGATTAAAAGAGAAGGGACCATGGGGGTGTCTCTGGAGGATGTAGCAGATAGCTGGGGCCTTAGCAATGTAGCAGTCCTAGAGCTAGTGAGTGCAGTGCAGTCCTAACGTCAGAACGTGATTAACAACATAAATAACCTGTTTGTTTCCTCTAACTTGGTATCCTATTACCAAGAACCAGTCTATATGAAAGACTATATGAAAATTATCATCATAGCTGACACTTTCTCTTAGTATTCTCCTAGCATTCCTTCTTAGGCTTTAAGTTTGGGGTCCTTCTTCAATCTTAAGTGTAAGGTGTATCAGGATCAGAATAATTTTTTTTATATATATTAATATATATCATGGGATTAATATTCCATGAGCTAACTTTCTCAGTATCTTTTAGAGTGTGTTAAAATTTTTAGTACCTGTGAGCAAGAGCAAAGAATTCCATAAATTCTTAGAGCAAAGAATTCCATAAATTCTTAGAGCAAGGAATTCCATAAATTCTTAGAGCAAGGAATTCCATAAATTATTTGAGGAACCACTTGTCTTACTTTGAACCCATCAGACTTCACTTGGCAAATGTCACATGTCAGGACTTGATTGCCGTTGTATGGCCAACCATCCAGAATCCATGAGTGATTGCTTTGGACTGGGAAATGTTGAAGGAGAACCAGAAAAAACATACTTGTCTTTGCAGTGCTCCATTACTCTTTGATTGGCTCTTCAGTGCTCATGGCTGCCCTGGAAGCTGCCAGTGCCCTTCCTTGTATTTTCTTCAGTCCTGTTGCCCTATATAAGCCTGAGGTGGTCACACTGTGCTTTGTCCTGAGTCTGGCTCTGCTGTTAGATCCCCGCTCACTGTGCAGGCATGCCTTCAGGTCACTAATAAATATGCCTATGAATATCCCAGGACAGCTTCTCTGCTCTTAGTGTGATAAATAGAAATGGTGAGATGGGCATATATTATTATTCAATTTACCTGATAGAAGTTATTAGCTGTTGTTCCTCCTGGCTGCTTAAGTGACATGTTAATTTAAATCTCTCTGCTTGTTTGAAAAGGATAGGAAAAAATAGGTTTGAGAGAAGGGGTGAAACATATCTTGCAATTTATTTCATGCCTCTAGGTTTTATTCTGGGGAATGGAAGAAAACATGATCTCATGTCTGGTTTCCTTTCTAAAGTTCTGTTTCTGAAGGCTAGAGGAGAAAGGTAGTTCTGCAGGTATCCACAACTGAAGTGCAATCTGTCTTGAATACATGACAAAGAAATACCACTCTTGCCTCCTGTGCTGAGTGCATTCTCAAAAAGCTGATGAATGATGAAAGGCTGTTTAGAAGCATGTCACGGACACGAGTCATTTATGTGATAGCTGGTTATAAGCACATCTGTCATTTGAAAGCGTAGTTGGGTGACTTAAGCAGTTTTATGACTGATGGGACTGTAACCAACTATAACCCAACTATGCCATTGCCTGCAGTATATGAATCTGTCGTCTTTATAAATACACTAGAACCTGCTAGGATGACATTTCTTTGTAATTTTTCAGCCAGTTTAACTACTGGAGTTACAACTGCAGTTGGCTGCAACACTAACAGATGGAGATCATCCTTCCAAAACTACTGATGAATTAAAAGACCACTGGTGACAGACATGAAGAGATGAAATACAGTAAGAGAAAAGAGATGAAGAGAATCTGTATTATCTACTAGAGTGTTAAGGCTCTGTGCTCAGTGAGCTTTGAATGGCAAGTAAGCTGCTGCAACTGTACTTGGTAAATGAAATTTTGCATCAGGCTGTGCCTGACTTTAATTATGCCATTATGCCAATCTCAGCAGATTTTTTCCACAGTTTTAGTTGAGGGCTTTTTATTTACTTTTTGCTATTCTTTTTATAGAACAGGATGAAAATGGAGGAAAAAAAGATTATCTGTCACTGAGCAATTAACTGAGTGTACTGGATTTATTTCTCTTCCTCTCATAGATATCTCTCAGATCACAAAGAGGATTAAGCTGTGAGAGTTAGGAGAAGATGTTTTTTACCACTGGAGTAAGATAAGCTTACGTTTCAAATAAATAAAAATGTCAGAATAGTGTATAGGGTATCCGTGAGCTGTAGACAGCTGTGGGGAGGACTCATCTTTTTCTATTTGTGTAAATATGATGCTCTGGAAAGGTGTTTGTGCAGGACACTTTCAGGGCCTTGAGAAGCTGACAAGCCATGAGTGCTACCATTCACCTCTTTGGCTTCTTATTGCTCTGTATTTGGGCAGTAATCGGTAATTTCATGGAACTTCACATAGAAATAACAGTAATTAAACTTCTGTTCTCAACCAGAAAGTAGGAAGATGTAGAGTTTACTTAGTGTGAGAGCATTCTACAATGTGATCTGTTGCTGTTTTAGTTCTGGAAGTTATTGGTGATACTCTTGACACTCTAATACTGTGCCTGAACTCTGACCTCCCCCAATCAGGAAAGCTTATCCCTTCCAACCTGTCCTTCACCACTCCTGGTTTCTTCAGTAAGGAAGCTTCAGCACATATACCATGAAGAAATCTCAAGGATGCTGAAAAATACTTATGCCTCCTATAGATCTAGATTTAATTTTCCCTGTGTAAAGCAGGGATTTTGAAGAGTTGCTATTTTTTTTTTCCTTCCTGGAAAGCTTAGAGTGGATCTATTTCTAGATTTTACATGGCCTTTTTGTTTAACCTGGAACTACTGTCCATCAGTTGACTCATTTGCTCCTTCCAACACCCCCACTGCAAATCAACCTGGGACTGTCCTTTCAAGATGGGGAAATGGGGTATGTAATCCAGAGAAGAATCAGTAACCTTCATTTATTCCATGAGATAACTTAATGAAATAAAGAATTCACTGTCCTGCTCTCAGACACTGCTAGAGACAAGATATTGGGCTCAGGTAGACCAAGGTACTTGATACTAAGGTCTAAGTACCCTTGTGTTGTGCCTGTATGTTGGGTAGTCCCCTAAGCATCATTGTGTATGGGAGTGTGTTGATGAAAACATTTACTGTTGAAGATGGGTTAGTATTAGTATGTTAGATAATGAAAAGAAGCAGTGGAGAAACTGGAATGTGTTCTTTCCTCTTGCAGTTGCTCTAGGGATAGAAACCTCACGGAGAGAGGTAGATGAAGATTGAGGATCATATCTGAACACAAACTTGCAATGTGGTAGGACGAGGGGGAATAGCTTTAAACTGAAAGAGAGTAGATTTAGGTTAGATATTAGAACGAAATTCTTTACTGTGAGGGTGGTGAGACACTGGAAAAGGTTGCTCACAGAAGTTGTGGATGTCTCATCCTGTGAAGTATTCAAGGCTGGGTTGGATAGGTCTTTGAGCAAGCTGGTCTAGTGGGTGGGCAGGAGAGTTGGAACTATATGATCTTCAAGGTCC